GATGTAACACAAACTAGGTTTTTTAGCTAATTTTTGAGTTTATTAAAATTAAGAAGATAATATTGAGATATACACACATTCCTTCAGCCAGTCACTGGTATTTCCCTGGATTTTATGCTGGTTTTCAGGGGAATACCAAAGAAATTGATGACTCTGCCTTAAAGAGATTTTACAGTACTGGTGAAAGCAATATAAAACTCATGGTCGGTTAAAGTCAACTAAGAGCTACGTGAATTTGATAAGCTGTGTGTTCTCTGTCCTTCCTTCATGGAAATCGTTCGCGCTCCAGCCTTGGCAGTTCGTTTGGGGAAAGGTCCCAGTGCTGCCTACTTCTTTACCTTCTGACCACAGAATAAATCTGTGGAGTAGGGGTGCTCTGATATAATACATTGAGTTATTATTTTCTGTAAAGCTATTTGACCTACATAACAGCAATCTTCAGTAAACACTGAATTGATTCTATGTCTGATCCTTATCCAAAACATTCTTAAGCCTATTTGGCTAATCAGATTGTATTCATATAAAGTTTGTGGATTTTTTCAGAGGAAAAGATCAGATAAATAGCACCATCTGACTAACTCAGTCTCCGGGTTTAGCTGCTGCTTTGAATAGACTCAGGATAGAGTTAGGCAATTCTATTGTGCGAGATAATTATTTGTTAGGTTATAAAAGATTCGTTACTGAACTTCAAATAGCAGTTTGTGACACTTGTAACCTAGGGATGAAAAAACTCATTTTTTTAATGATTAATATCCTAGATTTCTCTCTGGAAAACAATCCAGGTGGAGGCATCTCCACTAATATCTAATGTATACTGAATGCTTACTGTGTGCCAGGCACTGGTCTAACAGCTTTATACGTATTAACTCATTTAATCCTCCCTACAGTAACAATGATGTTATTATCCCCAATTTACAGATGAGGAAACTGAGACCCAGAAGCTAAATAATTTGCACAGCATTACACCACCACCAGACGGTAAAGCTTGTCTGGCTACAGAGCCGACTCTGAAACACTTTGCTACCAAACAGCTGCCTGGGGCATTTTCAATAGGGTGCTATGGCACCTCAAATACAGCCTATCCAAAACATGCTCGTTAGCATTTCCTTCCTAACATTAGCCTTCCCGCTTGACTTCTCTATTTCTTTCAGCTCTATATCTGTATTTATTCTTATTAACACCCAGCTATTTTGCAAATAGTATAAGACGAAAGAAAAAACCTACATTGGGGGCCCTAAATCTCAAGATTCTGGTTCTCACTAACCACATGACTTCAGACACTGCATAATCTCAGAGGGCCTGACTTTCTCATCTGTTAAGTATGGTCTCTTTCCTGCTCAAGAATTCCACTTACCAGCTTATCTTTATGGTAAAGTTTATAAAATATGTTTTAAAATTAATGAACAGCAAAATAAAAGAAGAAAGAAACATTTTTTAAAAAAAGCAATTTGTACCAGAATTTCTATTCTGACCACTCAATAGTGTGGTTTTATATGATAATTTTATAGCCCAAAAAAACTTAAAAGGAAAGAAGTCTTCAAAATTTTAAAATTTGTATGTAAATTATGGTACATCTACACAATAAAATATGATGTCACAGTTCTAAGCTATGCTATTAAAAGCTTTGAAGACATGGAGAAAGGCTTGACTGTTAAGTATTCAAAAGGAATTCTAACCAAAATGTCTCCACATGAAACTTCACCGTGTACATATGCATGCTCAAGTTCCATTTTCTAACATCTAACTGGTTCTTTCCCTGCTCCTCCTCTTTCTCCAAGTTCTGGGTTAATCAAATTTAAGAATCTTAAGCTCAGTAATTCCTTTTGTATTCAGGAAGCCTGCCAGCTACCACAATCTACAGATACCATTAAAGGATGAGGGTCAACAAAGACAGCATCTCACAAAGAAATTGGAACCACCACTCCAGGGAGGCATGATGCAGTTTCCCTCTGGGAATTCAACAAAGCAAACAAGACAGATGAAATCTGCTTAAGAATAAATCACAAATTGAAGCAAGCAACCATTACGCTGTCTGCTATCGACCATGTGCCATTAAAAACTATTTCATCTCAAAGTACTGTGCCTTTAAGTGAGCGAAACAAATTCTAGAGGAAGAGCAGTGGCAGAATAATGTACACTTATGAGATAACTATAAAATCAAGCGAAAGAAAGGCCAATGAACCACGTCAGCTCAGAGCATCAGAGCACTTCTAATAAAAACAAATCTCTACCAAGCTGGATTGTTGCTGTTGCAGACGCTTGTGGAGGATCTTTGCCGCCTTGTATATTTGGAGATATTTTTCCTTTTAATCACTATGCCAAACATGAAGCCCCTCATACAAAGGGAGCAATGAGCTAATGTTTGAGAAAGATGTAAACACTTTCCTCAGCCCACGCACGTGTTCAACATGAGCAGAGTCTTCCGTGTCATTCTATCTCCATCTTCTTTCTGTGTAATAGACTATTGTTTGTCAACATGGTCTTCGCTTAAGAACTATTTATATAAGTGAAAAAAGTCTTTGGCTCACAAGAAAGAACTCTACATTACAACATGAATTTTTAGAATCACTTCTACAAACATAACTAACATTCACAGTGTGTCATTTAAATATTCTATGTATTTGTGTAAGGAACAAAAGCTTGCTTTGCCCCAGAGCAATATATTAATAAAAAATGCCTTATAGCTTAAATTTAGAATAATCTATACTGCAACTGGTAATATTAAATAGGCTATTACTATATCCTTAACGTTCTTAATATTTTTGGCAAAGACACAGGTTTCTTATGAACTCACATGAAAATCAATTAGCACATGACTGACCGCATAATTGATAATTCAGTAAACACACTTACACACACACATTAGAGTGTTTTAAAATATGAAATTCATGGATACAGCTAACTAAATAGAAGTTCTGGACAGAGGAATAGTGTTTGATGATCTCACCACCAAATGCTTAGTTTACTTTGAATGTTTAATAAGATCTTTCAGCTACAACAGTCCTTAATTAGACTGACCTTGCTAGCCAATGTATACTGTAGACTGACTATGTGCCCTAACTGCTTTATAGACACTAAACCCGACACATCAGGAAGTATGTCATAAATGAGAAAATGGCAATTCAGTGATATTCTGTAACTTTTCCCATCTCCAAAAGTAGGTCTCAAATCCAGGCCATTCTGAGTACACGGCACGTGCTCATAATCTTATGCTACCAACAACACCTGGAAATTTGAAGAAAATTGTCCTTGAAATTGATATCCAGTCAGAACACTTCAAATATATAACCTCAAAAGTTTAATGATTAACAACAGTTTTCTCAAAAAGAACTGGTTGGCCCTATTCCTGACTCACTCAAAGAAATTGATCATACCGGTAAACTTAACATGACCAGTAATATAAGCCCTGTGGACCCAGGATTTGCCATGCTTGTTCCTGTCCCACACAAGAACTGTGAAATAGCAGTTAGGTCCAAGAATCAGTTAGAGGGGAAAACGTAACTTCACAGTGAAGGATCAGGCTGATGACCCATGAACCCAGTGCTCAGTCTTGGCCTCACTAGTGGGGAAAACCAGGCTGCTCTGTGACTCCTGATGAGATGCAAGAAGAGAACATATCACCTGTGATGATTTCGAGCCAAAACGCTTGCTTTGATCTAATCGAGCCTTCAGACCTAGCCTCCAATTTCAGGAACTACAAGAAACAGAGGAGTAAACTAAATGACACCATGAGGAAGAAATGAGACCGATCCAGAAGGTAGGATATTCTCCAGAACAACTGGCTTGGTCTCTTCAAGTCAGTGTAATGAAAAACAAGAAGCTGTTCTAGATTAAAAGAGACCTCAGGGACATAACATCCAGACGCACTGCATGGTCCCGCACTAAATTCTGTGTCAGACAAACCATCTGTTATGGATTTTGTGAAGACAACTGTGGGAATTTGAATATGATGGAGTATTAGACAATGTTAAGAAAGATTACCAATGACATTAGTTGTGATAATGATCATTTGGCTATGTAGGACAATGTTCTTATTTTTAAGAGATGCATACTTAAGTATTTAGAGGTAAAATGTTAACGTGTCTATATTTTACTTTAAAATACTTAAATATAAACATAGAGTCTTGAAAAAGAGGTAGGTCACTTGCAAAAAAAGTTGCAAAAAAAATGAGTATAAATGGTTCAAGGTTCAAAAGTCACGCCCCATTGTCAAGAATTATGCTTAACTGGACAAAATGATCCATGGACAGCAAAGGTCTAATCTCAAGAGGCCTCCCCAGCACCTCACCCCCTCACACACAGTGCTGAATGAAGCACATTTCAAATTTAAAGTAAAATACCAACTTTTAAAAGATTCCCTAATATAATTTTAGAGAAGCGTTTAGGCTTGTTATACCAATGTTTAGAATGACTAGAGAGAGGGATTAAAAGCTCCAAAATTATAACATGCTATTCCAGAATAACCACAACTGAAGCATCTGGAATGTTGATGGTCACACTGCTGCCTTACTGCACACGCCTCACTTCCATATCCTACATGGGAATTACTTCCTTTGCACATGAATAAACATCCTTTGCTCTAAGCACATACCTAACAAATAAGGAAGCAAAGGCGAAGAGTTCAGACAATATTTGAGGGAAAGGACTTGAACTTCGGTTAAAACCTAACAGCTAGTTTCGTCATATGACTGATAAGCCGCAGCAGCTGACAGTGTTGCTCACTACCTGGGAGTAATGTAAAGGCTACTAGTGAAAAGTAGTAAAAAGATTCGATCCTTAGAGACATAAAATCAATCAACTTCAGACACCAACAGGTTAGACCTACAGAGTACACGGAAGTTCTCCTCAGGGAGCCCACAGCCTAGTACCAAGATCAAAAGGTGGCTTTTCCTATTTGTTCGAGGAAGTGTGCAGTTTAAACACACAGCACCTGCCTTTGGTTATGGAAATAATAGATTCAAAAATGTAAGCAAAACGAAACAAGAACAATAAAAACAAACCTCAGGCCCAGCTGCCTGCAGATCACTTCTGCGTCTGCGTCATCCCACTGATCGTCACAGACAGTCCCCCACTGACCAGCATGGTAGAGCTCCACTCGGCCCTCGTGCACGTTGCTGCCACCAGCAAGACGTATGGAGGGGAACGCGGGGCCTGTGCAATGGGAAATGAAAGACAAATTACACCTACATATTTACATCGTGCGACATGATTAGGTATATTCTATGTCTTTGCCATTTTCAATAATTCAATAATATTTATTAAGCCATTGAAGTGATATGGACATACACGCACATAGCTAACATATTTTATGGTAATCTTGACCAATTAAAAATACTCCAATTGAATTACATTCAAACAAATAGCTCTTAAGAGGAAGCAGTCTAAATTCACTTTTGTCCTACAACCTCAGAAACCAGAAAAGACGCACTCAAAACTGCAGTTTACTAGAAACACATTGGATTTTTATGGGATTGTGGTCATGACGTTGATCTGTTAATTTACAGTAATTTGAGTATTACCAACATGTAATTATTAAGAATGGCACTTATGTAGGTAACATACTTATTTTCAGTACAGAAATATTTTTACATTTGTAGAAATCAAGTCAAAGTTAACATCCAACACATTATAACACGTCGGTGGACATCATGGCCAGCACCTTCAAAACCAATATTGAAAATTCATGTGGGTATGAATCAGTTCATCTTCGTTTCCTCTGTTAAGAACCACCACAGTCTTCCCATTGCAATTCCTTGTTACAGTCCGCAACGCCCTGATCTCTCCCTTGTCAGCCTCTGAATTTCTCTCTCATTTCTCCTGGCCTCATTCTCTGGCTACAGCTACCATGCCTTCTTCCTTCTGCCCAAATACACTTGAAGTTGGACGCCACCTCAGGGTCTGTACAGTAGCTGTTCCTTCTGCCCGGAAGAATGTTTCCACAGATCTTCACATGGCTGCCTCCCTCTCGTCAGTCAGTTCTCAACACTGAAATGTCCTTTCTGCAGGAGGCCTGCCCTGGCTACCCCAGCACACGCAGCACCCTAAGGCGCTTTCTACTACATCACCTAATTTGTCTTCCTCAGAATATTTACTTTTATCTAAAATTGTCATTGATTTATTGGTTTACATGTCAATTGTCTGCCTCCTCTCAACTAGACTTGAGGACAGAGAAAGTGCCTTTCCCTTTCATCTGTGTATTTCAGGTACCCAGCATAGAGAAGGCATATAATAAATATTTGTTGACTGAAAAAACTGGCAAGTGATAGCTAAAAGTCTGGAAAGGCTATCTCAAACAAGGAAAAATAATTAGCAATATCCCTTCATTCAATTCTATTTAATAAACAGATACTAGGCATCTGCTGTGTGCAAGGTGTTGTACCACGTGCTGTAGGGCATTCAAAGGGGCACTAGACAGACGCCACCCTCAAGAAGTGCACTGCCTAAGGACGTGGACAAAATGAGTACAGACAAGAGATAGTCAAGAAGACCCTGCATGGATTCAGAAGCGAGGGAGCTGGCTCACCATTGGGAGTAGTTAGGGAATCCTTCTAAGAAAGTGGTATCTGAAGAGGCCCAAGATGGATGGATGGGATTTCAGAAGCACAAAGTTTGGGAAACAGTACGGAAGTCTAATTTTTCTGGAATAAAGGACATAATATGGTAAAAGGTTCAGAACAGGCTGGGTCCCCATTAGGGAGTTTAGTTGCACCTTTTACCAAATGTTAATCATTTATCCACATGAAATGTGCTCCTAATTCCTCCACAGTGTAAGCAGCTGTCAGTAAATGGCATCTGGATATTCATATTTATATTCAAATATCACACAAGTTTTGCAGCAGAGATTCAGATCAGTGACTATTTGCATATACTCACATTCTGATATTTGTAATACAGTTTACTTACATAAGTGAACTAACACTGAAAGTTTGTAAAAAGATACAGACAGGCTTAATAAATATGACTGGTCTTCTCAATATTGTATATTAGCATCTTAGAATTAACTGATGGCTGAACGATGGTAAGAAACAAATTTGCATAAGTTATGTACATTTTCCTTTAAAAAGCTTGGAAAATATAGAAAAAATGATAAAAAATGTACAAGTTTCTTAAGTTATTATATTCTCCCCTGCCTCCCCTTTCCCCCACCACTGTGGTAAGCTTGGAGAAAACAGGAAAAAAAAATTTTTTAAGAGGAAATTTAAAATCACCTAGAACCATTATGGCATAGTACTTACATTTTTTAATGTCATGTTTTATTTTACAATGTGGTTTTTTTCCGGTTGTATAATTGTGAAAATACAGAAAAGCTCAAGGACAAAATTTAGTCAACTTCCCACATCCTCCCAACAAACACATGAAAAATCATCTGCAAGAGAATTCAGTGAAGTCATTGACCAATGTTTCACTTAAGGATGAATAAGGCTCCCAGACGTCTTCATTTAGATTGCTATTTCCTCTATCCAGGACTGGTGCACCATCTTCTACTTTGTAAGTGCTGGGAAAGCAACCAGTACCAGATGACAAGACACGAAGTATAATTTCCAAACTAAACGATCGTGTTAAGCCCTATCGCTGTGCCTTAAGGCAGACTCAGCAGTGGCTGCTTTGAGCTATTTGCTTTCACATTCTCATTTCCTCTACAACAAGGGAATCTTCTTTTATTCTCACTTCTAACTTATCTCAACCTCCTAGATTTTATAAATGTTTACAAATTTATCTGTGCAACCAGAGTATAAACAGATTACAGATCATAAAGAGTAGAATTTTTTTTTAAAGTAGCTAGATATTCTGAAAGAAAATAATCTTGTTTTCAAGCTTTTACTTACTTTCCTACTTGAAAAATGTTAAACATTTTATCAATCAGGTTGAACACAGAGTACAAGCAATAATCTACGAAATGCAGTACGTTATAGAGCCCAATTGACATCGCTCTTGAAGCAGCAATGCATAAACGTGTACTTGACAAAAGTAGTGATGAACAAATGAAAAGCAATAAGAAAAGTTAATATATATTGAGGTATATGAGGAAACCATTTGGTTTAAAACTAATTCGGCCCGACCTCATTTTTCCAGAAAGATCTGGCATGGCCTGTCCAGCATGCATTGTACATCTGCTCTAAACATTTACAATGTCCCAAAGCAAAGAATGATGCCTTTTAAAACAGGAATGTATACCCCCCTCCATGGTAGCATTTGCTTAAAGATAAGAATTTCTTCCCAGAAACTAAAGGTCAAACTGACCTACTGTGCTCCTCTTCTGACCACTGACCTGCTGTGCTAGTAACTTCCTGTTACTGTAGTAAAAAAAAATATTCCCATCATGTGTGATGCACATTCCTTATTCCAAGACAATATATAACCATGCTGTACACATCGCTTCCTTCCTTGGTGAAGGTGCTCTCCTGGGCTATTCAGTCCTCTGACTGGCTCATATAATAAACTCACCCCAATTTTGATTTATAGATTGATTATTGATTATTTGCATCAACAGTAACATTATTCAAAGGTGGAGAATCAAAAGAAAAACTTACAAGGCACCAAGACTTATGCACCTCACCCATCCAAAAGAGGACTGCAGCTCTGAGAGCACACTTTCGGTCCATATCCTTGTCTTGGTTCCTCCAGCTAATTCAGGGAAATTACTCTACATGAGGTCTCTGTATGTTTTGTAATGGAGCTTTTCTATTCCTGCCCCAATACTTGTACTCAAACAGCAACCACTGCCCTGGACTGGCTGCTAGCATTTCGAGGCCTGGGACATCTGGTCAAGCTGCCATCTCCAAGGAAAATGCAGATAGGGATACTGTGACTATGTGGCAGCCTCAAGTTGTGGTCACAGATTAAAATACTCCATGGTCCCCAGAAAACCCATCAGCCATCATGAAAAGCAGCTGTTCCCTCCTCTACTTATGTTCATATGAACATACACATATTTGTGTACTGACACCGCATTGCTAATCACCTCCTGCCTAGTATATGGTGCTTAGGAGACCTTATCCAAGGCAGTAATCCATTTTAGGGAATACGCTATCTATAACTCAAAGGAGAACACTGGCACCATGATTATATTCCATCCTATAAAGTGAAAGCATTTTGTTGTACTTGCTGTATTTTATACTTGGTTTCAAGATGATTTTCCATCTTGAATCCATGATGATTTTTTGCTATCAAAATAAGTGTTTCATATACAGTATATAATATTTCTTTAAACAAAGTAGATAAAATAGAAAACATGTTAAAAGTGAGATACCATTGAAAGTCAGATGGAATTCAAATTGTTAGACACACTCCTATTGAAGACTATTTAATTAGACAGTAGAATATGATAATTCAGACTTATGTCTGCATTTATACTTGTTTAGTTTAGTTAAGTCTTAGCTTAACTAAGACACTTTTATCATCTGGAATCATGTTGAAAACGCAATAAAAGTAAAACAAAAATAAATATTTTTTTTACCATGGGAAAAACTACACGTGACAGCAGCTGCCATCTTCTGAGGACACACCCCACCCTGCCAGATGTCTTTTTCACAAAGCAGTATATTTTCTTCATCTCCTCGGCAACGGACATTGTTCCAATAAATGGGAATAAGGCCCAGTCCAGAAAACGGGGTTTGTTTTGCTACTCCTTTTCCTCTGGAAGTACAATGATTGATGTTAGCTTTATCAAATATAGGCAAATTTTTTTTATCACAGCATTTGGATTTTTTTTAATGGAAGAAATTAATAAAGATGGATATGGAAGAAAAATCATAATGGATTACATAAGTTTCAAGGAAAATCAAAACATCAGATCAGAACTTGGGTTGACTACGTAAGGCAATCTTTTTAAGCCGTCTTGAATAACTAATGGTATGCATGTGCCTTTACTATCTATGGCTGATTTTAGAAGAAAATGGGCAAATGCTACAGATATAAAAAGTGAGCCTGCATGGCTTTGTGGAAGAAGTGTGTCATGTGGCCCAGCAAGACCTGGACTCTAGTCTGGACTCAGCTGCACATGACACTAAGCTGGACGGCTCTCAGCTCTGCCTTCTGATGTATAAACAGAAGTCTGGGCGCCTGAAGGTTCTTTCCTACCCCAATACCTTAGGCCAGCATTTTCAAAATGTTACTATTACTATATCTAAGCAAGATAATATCAAGAGAGGCAATCCATTCACATTTTTAAAATCTTATATGCAATATTTGCTGCAAGACTTTGAAACCAATTAATAAAATAATAACATGGAGATGGGCTCTGCTTTTAACTCATCTAATCTAAATATTTTTATAAGTAGCCTCTGATATGTACCAAAATGATGTTAAATTTTAAAAAGATTAAATGCTTACCTGATTAACATAGTAATCTCTAGAATTGTCTCTCTGCAACAGTTTCCATCAACCAAACAGTAAATATTTGGGGTATATCTAAAATATGAATGTGTCTTAACAGGAATAAAGCTGGGCTGCTCTGCTCTTATTATGCAGTTCTTTTTTTAAAAAGCAGACTACTGAGAGATGATACAAGCAATTGGATCAGCTTATCTGAAGTTTATATTTGCAGAATGATGGGTTACATTCTTTCATCAGTCAAGACTAGTAACCACATTGTAGGTCACGTCTCCGCTACAGTGTTCTTGTTTCTTTGCGTCAGAGTCTCATAAGAAATTTTATTCTTCCCTGATTTTCCGGGGTAGTAAAAGCACATGCAGCTACGTATATAAAGGAAGACAATGATGCCAGCCTACAAATTTGTTCCATCCTCAGGCCTTCAAAAGAAAGTCAACATTCAAGTCAACATTCCTTGTGACATTCCCACCTGCCAATGACTGTTAGCCAGACAAAATACCCTTGATAAAGTCAGTAATTAACATTCCTAAACATCACAACACTTTATAGGCTCTAGCCTTACTCCTTCTTTCAACGCTCATTTCTAAAAATTAATTAAGTACATTAACTCTATTTGCTGACATAAAAGCACCAAAAGTCTGAACAAAACTTAAGCCTTCAAAGTCTGCCTTTACAAAATTCTCACTCCCCACCTTCCTAACGAGAAGACAGGAGGAAACTGGCAAATTAAAGTTCATACTGATTTGACTGGAGTTGACTCACATTTTCATTCACATCATTGTATTAGATATTACCACTCACTGATTACTAATCCAAAATATTTGTAAATTGCAAACCTTTCTTTCAGACTTTTAGACTTGCTTTTTTTGCTAACAAGATATTTTCCACGCTTTCTAAAGATCTCTGGTGATAAAGGCCAAGAAAAACACATGGCATGCGTACTTAGAAAAAATAAATGAGACACAAAAACAGAACAATAACAACAAAAGCAAACCTTTTGTTCCAAAATGGAGCCTTCTGCTCCTGGCGAACCCCCTGGGCACAAGGCAGAAAGGTGCCAGGCCTGGTGGAAGTCAGTGTGCGCTGAGCTCTTTTAAAGGGAGGGCCCCCTAGGGTGGTGGAGGAGCCCGCAGCTCCTCAGGATGGCTGACGCTGCGGGGCAGGTGGAATCTGCCGTCTTGCACAGGACCTCCTCAGCGCAGAGGAGGCCTGAGGACATCGTCCCTTACCCATCACGAGATAAGAGCACAGGTGAACATCACCTCCTTCACACACACAAAAATGGAACTTGTGGGTGGCTAAAAGTAGAAAGTCAAAAGCAAATGACAGCAACCTAGGGCTGCAGGCTACTGAGAAACTACAATTCTTCGAATCAAATTCCTTGCTTCTTAGGGCTAAACAATTATTTTGCTAAAGACAAAGACCAAAGGATGCTTTTAACTTCTGACCACTTTGCATTTGCCCATTTCCTCTTTAGCAGGAGTAGTAATATGTGAAATACATTTGTACGTTAAGAGAACTCATTCCTTCCATTTGGGGCCCTTTCTTTCCAACTCTTTTGAGAAAAGCGAGAATGAGGAAAGAAAGAATGAGGAGAGAAGATGTAACCTCTTCTCTGGAATGATGGGTGCCCACCATTATTCTCAGATATCAGTAGACTGATTTCGTTTGCTGAACTCACCCCAGCTGCAGCTGCTGACAAATGACTGACGCATCCGAGTCATCCCAGTGGCTGCTACAGACTGTGCCCCAAACTCCATTTGCATACACTTCCACTGTGCCTTCAAACTCATTTTTGCCACCGCCAAGTCGTACTGACCCTAAAGTGGAAAAGAATCCCAAATCCTTTAATAGCAAAGAACAACTTGAACATACTGAGCCAGTCATCGGTCAACATGATTTTTCCACTGAAGTGGTGAAAGATCCAGTCAGATCTTTGGCCTCCACTGTTCACGGCATGTGCTCCTTCCTTTAAATGAGGATTTAGCAGGCTCTTTTTTTCTTTTTTAGTAATTAACATCCTGATGTCAGTGCTAATTATATTTTCTTTTTTATCTAGGCATACAGAAAGTCCAATTACAATTTTAAAAGGGGAAAAATGGAAGAGTATAACTAATGTCTGATATTGATCCCAAGTATTATATTACATCACATATGAAGTTCTTATCACTTATGTATCTCCTTCTATCTTCACAAGAGGTCATAGATAGGAAACACAGAAACCAACTTCAATGCTCTGCTCATAAATTAGCTGTTATTGGCTGTTATATTTTCCTTCTATCTGGTTTGTTCATCCACTACAGAAAAGGAAAATGCTTTTTCCTCTATTAACCTCAAGCAGTAGTCATGAAAATTCTAAAGATTATGTCCATAATTTCAAAAAGATGCTAATGTTGTAAATATCGCCCAATGTGAATCTTAGAGAAATTGCCGCTAAGCAGAGTGGTTTAGTGTAACTGAACGACGCTGGAAATTTAGCTTTCCTCACATACCATCCCTACTTAGCTGCTCCACAGTCCATGATCTGAGTCATACTTTTCAGTCTTTAAAAAAGCGAAAATCTAAAGTTAAGCACCCCCGTATCCCTTAAGTGGGGATCAAGGCCCAAAATTTCTTCTCCTGTTGGTGCTGGTTTGCAGAGTGGATACTGGCAGGCAGCAATTAGGACACTTAATAAGAGATGGAATTAAACTCAGGTAACTTAAGAATTTCACAAAATTCTGTTGAAAGTCACTTACGATAGCCTATATTTCATAGGTAAAGAAATTAAGTCCTACCAAAAAATTCTGGGATATTTTGCATATTTCAAAGTTATTACGTGTGGTTTTAAAATAATTTTCCAAAAATATTAGATTCACAAATTATCCATTCATTTCTTTTGCACTGGCCTAGTCATCTACCACTATTATTTTCCATGTTATCATCCTTAAAAAATGCAACCATTTAAAGGGCTGGCCCGGTGGCACAGCAGTTAAGTTCACATGTTCTGCTTTGGCGGCCTAGGGTTCACCGTTCAGATTCTGGGTGCAGACCCATGCACCACTTGTCAAGCCATGCTGTGGCAGGTGTCCCACATAAAATAGAGGAAGATGGGCATGGATGTTATCTCAGGGCCAGTCTTCCTCAGCAAAAAGAGGAGGATTGGCAGCAGATGTTAGCTCAGGACTAATCTTCCTCCGAAAAAACAAACAAAAAAAGAAGAAAGAAAATGCAACTATTTAAGAAAAACATAATCTACTTCTCAAGACAAATATAGTGTCATTTAATTCAAACAAAAGGCAATAATAAATGTAGGCAAAAGATGGCACTGTCAAGTCCTGATTACTCAGGAGAAAACATGAACATGGGTCATTGATATGGCAAATAATGTAAAAATGACTCATACATTCTAAACCTCCTTAATTTGCAGTGAGCAAGAGGAAGCCCTGTCTAGCTCATTGAAAAGTATGAACTGTATAACATTTTAAAGAAATATGTCTAAAGGGTTTAACTGAACTTTAATGACTTTTGAATCACAAAATTTCTTCTATAGAGACATAATATTATGCGTATCACAAATGTCAGCAATTTATTTCAATTCAAAGAACTCATTTGTTCACCTCAAACAAACATTATTGGAAATTGTTTTTAAATTAATCCATTATCTCTTTATTAATTCGGCCCTTCCACCAAATTACTCATGTCAAGGGTTGGAAGAAAGTTCTAGTAATGAAAACAAACTGGAACACTATTTATGCATGTTAAATAATCACAATAACATAAAATACTGCCTAAATCGCCAAAAAGCTATCAAGAAGAAATGATGCATGCATATCGTCTAAATGATTAAGACATTTAGAGATGAGAAGAATACCCTGCATAAAGGATAATTATTACCACGACATCATTATAATGGCAATGATAGAGCTGGAAATCATTTCCAGGTCAACTATCAGTTCACCAGCATTTCTCAGATGCTCCAAACATGCTGTGAAAGCCTGGATTCATTTAGCTGTATCTGCTACATGGCAAGAAATCCAGAGTGCTCATCCAATTTTCCTTTACAATTGAATACAAATATTTCCAATTCTGGAAAGGCAATTTGCATGTCAGTGACTAATGAAATCTCTGTCAGAATCCACTCCCAACACCAACATCCCCAACACACACGCCTTCCTAGAACATAGTTTATCCTTTCCTTCAGGCCATAGAAATTTCTAAAATATTCTGACAAATCATCTACCTTGGACTCAGAGTGAGTTATTTCTTAACGGTACACCATTCAGTGAAGTTCATAATTCCTCTAACAATTATTTGAAAGAGCTTTGAAAAAAATATCAGCATAATGACATGCTCCAAAATAATCCAAGTTTGAACACAATTTACACTACATATCTGAAAGTTAGGTAGCAGTTCTTGTTTGTTTTTCATTCTACTTTGTTCTTCCTGCATTTACTCTCTGAGAATGGTTCGGATGGTTGAGATCTTAAAAACCGTAACTCATTTCCCTCCATTTACGGATGAGGAAGCTATGCGCCAAAGGAACTGAGCACCTGCCGAGCCATGACCACTGCCTCCAGGACCCCTGCCCTTGGTACTAGCCCCCTGTCTCCAAACCTGAGCAAAGACCCTGCAATACAATAAGCACCTTTAAAACTTCAGGTATTACTTTATGCATTATGCCATGTTGGTTTTAACCATTCTATGTGAAATATTGCAAGTATCCACCAAACACTATATGGGAATAAACCAACCAGGCAGAAGTATAAGCCAGCATGAAGAGTGTCTAGACACAGCAAAACAGGAGAAAAGTGGCTTTCCGATGATCTACACTTGAGGCTGAGCCTGCAGTGGATGTTGATTTGTTCCATTGGCTGCAGAAGTTTGTAGGAGGACTATACATGTGCACAAATTTATGGGTGCACAACAATAAGACGGAGGAGAAATATCCTTAGCTCAATGAAAAAAGAAAAAGGATGAAACAATAAAGCCATCCACAAAGGGCAAAGCCTGGTAAACACATTTATATTGCTACCCAACTAACAATAAAGTTCTCCAGAGCCATTCCAGACCAAATTCTTTGTCTGGCAAATATGGCTCAATTGTCACAATTTTTATTAACAAAAGCTGATCCCCCCTCCTTTGCTCACACTCTCCCACTCCAGTCAAGGACTTTGCTCCGAATCGTCTCAGCTAATGTCTCTGGACAACATCCCAGTGGATCCAGGGCTACACTGTCTTAAAGTCTCTCAAGCGCCAATTTGGTCAAAACGATTCTATTCTAAATATCCCTATTTTTAAAATGTGTTAATAACAATAATTTAAAATTTGAAGTCTCAAACAGAGGCTTTAGGTCAACTATAACAGGCATTACAAATTTGCAGACCAAACCAATAATAGAAGAATGTCTGGAACTGTAAAGCTGTGATGGCATGTCATGGAGAGAAGCCTTCAGAATTCATGAAATGAACTGTTACAAAAAAGCCCACAGTCAACTGTCTCCTGGTATTACAACTACCTTAAAGGCAAAATGTAAAATGTGCCAATGTGCAACATTATGTTCAGAATTCTTCTATCTTAATTCCCTGCCAAAAACATTGACTTTATTGTCATTTTAGTTTACTATTAATTTTCATCTATGTAGATATGTCTCCAGTTTTATAAAGGAAAAGAAGCATAAAAAATTCATGTTACAGAAATTTGTTTTATGGACACTTTGCTAAAAAACAGGAAATCCCAAAATGGAGAGACACTCAAGAAGGGTTCTTTTTAACCATCTTATCAGTCTCAATCAATACAAGGTGATCTTGAGGAGAACAGCTGACTAGCTTAAAATTCCCTTCACAAGTTTCACCAGTTTTTCAGTTTTTAAGGCTACTGTGAAGGGTTAAATTCGGTCCCTGCAAAAGATATTGAAGTGCTAACTCCCAGGACCCATAAATGTGACCTTATCTGGAAATAAGGTCTTTGTAAATGATGAAGTTAAGATGAGGTCTTTAGAGTGGGTTCTAATCCAGTATGACTGTGTTCTTATAAAAAGAAGAAATTTGGACACAGAGAGAGAACACCATCTCAAGACTGGAGTTACACTCCCACAAGCCAAGGAAACGTCAGAAGCTAGGACAGCCTTGGAACAGCGTCTTCCCTGGCACCTTCAGAAGAAGCATGGCCCTGTTGACACCTTGATCTTGCTCTTCCAGTCTCCAGAACTGGGAAACAATAAATTCTGTTGCCTAAGCCACTCAGTTAGGAGTACTCATTACTCCTAGCAAACTATTGGAGCCATTATGGTATTACCCCTTCCTGGACAGGTAGCAAAACCTCCCTTCTCATCCTGCACACTTGAAGGAGGCCTACGAGAAATATCAGAAAAGGAACCAAATAGGTCAGCTATCTTTGTTCTGTAAATCCAGCTCACTCCAAAATAATCCAAATGAAAAGATATGCCTATTTAGTTAACTAATTAAAATGTGCTTATAGAATAGCATTCACTCACTTGAAGAGAAAGAAAAAACAGCAGAAACAGAGACCCATCCCAGTAGTGTTTTCTGAATAGAATTAACAAATATTCTAAAAATCTTTTAAAACCATGGTTTGATAAATGAGGAAAAAGAAATTAATGTTATCACACAAATCCTTTCTCATCTATTACTGAACTTCACAGAGGCACAAAACAATTAATTTTAGTCGCTTCTATTGTTCTGTTGGAATCAGATAGAATGCACACTGGTGACATCAAGCTGTTGCTCAGATCCTTGCCAAAAAGTATACTTAAAGCTGAAAGTGATACAGAAATTTTAGTTTATGAACTATTCAAAAGCATAGAAAAAAGCCCATTACA